TGTTAATTTAAGAAACCACGGTATATGAATATTATTCGGTATATAAATCGAATAAAACTGATCAATTAAAATATATTAGTATACTACCATACTTATATGTAAATTTTATAATAAAATTAATATATATGCATGATAAAATATTTTTATTGGTAGACATTTATGCTAAAATATAGTTATTTAATACTATTATGATATTAATATTTTTCTTATTTATATTTTTAATAGTAAAAGGGAAAAGAATATATTATATGTTAAATTTAGAGTACGGAATATATATTATGTTTCAATAAATTCAAACTAATAATATAAATTAAAATTATCATAAAATGTAAATATAGTTATGGTTTTTGGTATAACACCGAATAAACCAAAAACCGCTAGTTATAAACCGAACCAAACCAAATTAGATATGGTATTAATATGGTAACTAAATTTTATAAACCGAAATACCGAAAAAACAGACCGAAACCGTACCGACATCCAAATTGAACTAAGTCTATTTTCATGTTTTTTCTTCTCGTAGGCTTTCTCAATCACCTTTGGAGCAACAAGATGTTGTTCGGCATCTACTTCCTTGTCTGCCTCTTGCTCTGTCGTATCATCGATTGAGGTTCATTCCAGTGCACCAGCACACTTACCGCCATCAGCCTCCTACCCTCGTTGGCTATGATGGCACAGGTAATTTCCTTATAATTATTTAATATCTGAATTATGTTTTTTTTTTTTTAAACTCATGTTCATTTCAGGCAATAGTCTTTGTCGTACTTTTGAACCTAATTCTATCACACCACATCATTGCCACAGCTGGTAAGAATCAATTTCATATACTAGATTGTCATTTCTTATAAGCATATCATAATTTTTGTTACATATTGGTTTTATTTTTTGTAGTTATTTCTTCAGTTGGCACGGTCCTTCTCATGTTCCTGGGATTCATTGCTTGCACCCGTTGGTTTGTTCTTCTGTTTCTCAGGAGGACATGATCTTCTGACTTTTATGATTTCTGATTGTTTAGTATTGTCATATCTAGTTAGTTTTAATCTTCGTATATGTAGCAACATCAAAAAGATATATAACTCAAGTAACCAAAAGAAGTCTATATATTTTATTTGGATAAAGAGATTACGAATGAAGTTGCCACATCACAGCCGAGTCATGTCGTTTAGAGCAGAGCTATTATATGAACGAAAAAAATGAATGCTTTGTTAGATCATCATCTTAGCTGAGCTTCACCATCATGCATAGATTCATTCTAAAGCTATCTTCTTCTTCTTCTTCCACCAATCCATTGAAAAGCTCTAAGAATCAGCTGCGTTTGCTTTCATCAATCACGTCAATTCCTTTTACCTCTCCTCCTCCTCCTCCTCTTTCAAGGACCTCGCATCGTACAAATCGATTCCTTTCTCGATTTGGGTATCCTTATTCCGACGATTCGTTTCCAAAGTCTCGAGCTTTCAGCTCAAAGTCTTGGACTTTAGGTGTAAACGGGAGAAGTAGATGTTTCAGCAGTGAAGCGGGGAGAGAGTCTATAGAGTACGATGTTCTGATCATCGGAGCTGGACCCGCTGGTCTGTCTGCTGCTATACGATTGAAACAGCTCTGTCTGGAGAAGAACACTGATCTGTCTGTATGTGTTGTTGAGAAAGGAGCTGAAGTTGGTCAGTTTCTCTTTAACTCTCTCTCTATGTATCTCTTTGCTTTGTGATAGAAACATTAAGCTATGGAGTTTTTGGAATTGTTAGGAGGACACATCATTTCTGGGAATGTTTTTGAGCCTTTGGCATTAGATGAGCTTCTACCGAATTGGAGGCAAGAACAGGTTTGTTGCTTAAGACAAAACTAAATCAAATCTTTTGTTTTGGAAATCAACTTGAAAGGCAATGTTATTGTTGTTTCATTGTGTGTTCTGTTTCTAGGCACCTATTGAGATCGCTGCTTCTAACGATAAGTTCTGGTTTCTGACGAAAAACCGTGCAATCTCACTTCCTTCTCCGTTTGATAACAAAGGAAACTATGTTATTAGGTAGGTGTAGACTGAACATTGTTGTAATGGATTATGTCCATAGTTAAGTTTCATTTCAGATGTTTAGTATTTGGTGGTGCTTGTGTATTCAGTTTGAGCCAGCTGGTGCGTTGGTTAGGAGGAAAAGCTGAGGAGCTTGGAATAGAGATATACCCTGGCTTTTCTGCTAGTGAGGTAATAATCTCTCGTGCTTCTTCTATTTATGTGTTCTGTTCTTATAAAACAATTTGATTTTGAACGATTTTTATCAGGTGTTGTACGATGCAAGTGATAAAGTTGTTGGGATTGCAACCAAAGATATGGGAATATCCAAAGATGGTTCCCATAAGGAGACTTTCCAGCCAGGCGTAGACATAAAAGGTAGCTTTGTCTCCTTCTCTATTTTCTCATTACCAATAGGAAGTGTCTTGAGCTAATAAGATATATGATTTTCTATACACAGGGCGAGTTACACTATTTGCAGAGGGATGCAGAGGATCATTGTCCGAGGTCAGAAGAAGCTTTTTGATTACAAAATACACTCGGTTTGCCTGCTTCTTCTGCTGATGTTAGCTAGTTTCTTACTTCAAATTTGTGCAGAAAATAATCAAAAAGTATAAATTAAGAGAGGAGGTTAATGCACAACATCAGACATATGCTTTGGGAATTAAGGAGGTCACCACTTCTATCCTTGATCTAGTTTTAACCTCTCTGTATAACTATTGGTCATAGGAACCCTTTTAATTGTTGATACTTTGAGCTCAACAGGTTTGGGAGATAGATGAAAGCAAACATAACCCCGGAGAAGTTGTTCACGCTATAGGTTGGCCCTTGGATCCTAAGACATACGGAGGTTCTTTCTTGTACCACATGAACGACAGACAGGTAATATTATCAACTAGTTGAGAAAATAAAATATTGTCTGCTTTCCTTGTAGTGGTGTCTTAATCAGTTGAGGTTTCCTTTCCAACCAAATCAGGTTGCACTTGGCTTGGTTGTTGCCTTGAATTACAAAAACCCTTTCTTGAATCCATATGAGGAATTTCAGGTATGTCAAATTTCTCATAAACAATAAGACGAATTGAGAAGTTTGATGAAGAAATATTATTTTTGACCTCCCAATAGAAACTCAAACACCATCCAGCCATTAAACGCACCTTAGAAGGTGGTACTGTGCTTCAGTATGGAGCTCGTACTCTAAACGAAGGTGGTTTTCAGGTGAGTTTAAAACCTTAACATATGATTTGTGCGTTGGTATCATCTGTTTTGGCATGTGATGACATAATTTGAACTTGATGCTAGTAAAATTTCAGTCCATTCCCTATCCAGTCTTTCCTGGAGGAGCAATAATTGGATGCTCAGCTGGTTTTCTCAATGTACCCAAGATTAAAGGGACACATACTGCAATGAAGTCAGGTCAGGATATATATTTTGATAAAAATACAGTACTGTTTTTATATTGCGCCATCATAGAATTTTCATTTCTATTTCATCAAAATGTCTTTACAGGAATGTTAGCAGCAGAAGCTGCATTTGGTGCACTTCATGAAGGTTCAAACATGAACACATACTGGGACAACCTGAGAGGTTCCTGGGTGTGGAAGGAGCTCTATGCATCTCGAAATTACCGACCTGTTCGTACTATACATTCATATATAAATCTGCTCATGTGGCTTTGTATGTAATTGCACTTTCCTGTTAGATAAGATCTTAATATCTCATATACTTTCAGGCATTTGAGTATGGGCTAATCCCTGGCTTAGCTGTAAGTGCTATTGAACAGTAAGATCCGGCTTGATTCTCTTCTTTTTTTTGTTCTATATGATCATTTACTCTTTGTTATGAGTGAACTGTTTATGTTTCATTCTGCAGCTATGTACTGAGAGGAAAGGTCCCTTTCACGTTGAAGCATGGGAAAGCAGATCACGAAGCAACTGATGTAAGTACACAAGCACTTAGAGACATCTTAATAATTAACCTTAACCATATTCAGACAAACACACAACTGAAGTGGGGATATATTTTTTTATGCAGCTTGCTCGGAAATGGAAGCCAATTGAGTATCCAAAGCCAGATGGTGTTTTATCATTTGACGTGCCAACGTCTTTATACAGGTTTGCATACACAAACTGCAATATCTTTACAATGTAAAATGTATTGATGAGTGGTTGCCTCTTGAAATAATGATGTAAAACAGGAGTAACACCAATCATGATCATGATCAGCCATCTCATTTGCGATTGAGGGATCCAAAGATTCCAGAAAAGGTAAACTTACCAGAGTATGCTGCACCAGAAACACGTTACTGCCCAGCCCGTGTATACGAGTAATAACTTCCCTTTCTCCCTCTTTACATGTATAGATTAACTTCCTTGAACAAGATACTAATAACCGTTTGCGTATTGACTCAAACCATGAAAAAATAGATATGTGGAAGATGAAGAGGGTAAGCCGAAACTGCAAATCAACGCTCAAAACTGTTTGCATTGCAAGGTATGCATCCATCCCTTTTTAATATTTTGTGTTTAATTATGTTTATTCATGTGACTCGATTGGATTGGAGAGAAGATTAAAATGTTTTTTTTTGGTGTTTTCTATCTAAAAGGCATGTGACATCAAAGATCCAAAGCAAAACATAGAGTGGACAGTGCCTGAAGGTGGTGGAGGCCCTGCTTATTCCCACATGTAGTAGCCCTCAAGACAACACTCACTTCACCACTTCCCATAAATAAACAAGACTCAAACAAAACCTTTTGTTGTTTTGAGCTTTTTAGTGATAGAAAGCTTATATGATATTTCGCTTGTTGTAAACTTTCATTTGAGTCATTAATGAGAACTCATCAGAAAATTAAAAATAAACCCATGTGTAGGTTTAAGCTCATGTAATTAAAGTGTTACGACAAATAAATTTTTATTTTTTCTCGACACACCGGAGCAGAGCATCACAACGGCTCACTTGCTCTTCGCGGTGAGTCTCTTAGTTACTTCCAGTGAGATCATGCATAGGCTCCTTCCTCGATCTGGGTATCTTAATTCCGCCGAGTTGTTGCGAAAGTCGCGAGCTTTAACTGCAAATTCAAAGAGTTTATCTTTAAACGGGAGCAGATACCTCAGCAGTGAAGCAAGAAGAGAGTTTACAGAGTACGATGTTGTTGAGAAAGGAACTGAATCAGGTCTGGTTTTTTCATTTTTTTTCTCAAAGTTCTAATCTTGCAGTTAATTGGTCTCTGTTTCATGTACATTAACTCTCTAATTTCGCATTTGTAGGATCACACATCATACCTGTGTCACATTGGAGACAAGAACAGGTTTGTGTTCTGTCTCATTTTCGTTACTAAAACTTAAGTCTTACCTCTGTTTGTGGAATCTTCTTTCTTTTGTTTTGTGTAGAGCTGCGTTGTAGATAGAGGAGATAAACCATTTCGTTTGCCAGACAATGATGTGTACTTATGCAACAGTTACATCAATTCTTATTTTGAGAAGGGAGATTTAGTCTCTGCGCGTAAAGTGTTCGACGAAATGACTCAGAGGAACTGTGTTACATGGGCATGTGTTGTTTCAGGGTATAGCCGTAACAGAGAACATAGAGAAGCCTTATTTCTCTTGAGGAATATGATTAGAGAAGGAGTTTTTTCTAATCCATACGCTTTTGCTAGTGCGCTTAAAGCTTGCCAGGAGTTAGATACTGTGGGGAAGGTTTTTGGGAGGCAACTTCACGGCCTAATGTTCAAACTCTCCTATGCATTCAATGCAGTAGTTTCTAATGTTCTTATATCAATGTACTGGAAATGCATTGGGTCTTTAACTTGTGCTCTTCGTGCTTTCGATGATATAGAAGTTAAAAACTCTGTATCATGGAATTCAATTATATCTGTATATTCAGGGGCTGGGGATTTTAGGTCTGCGTTTAAGATGTTCTCTAGCATGCAGTGTGATCATTCTAGACCAACAGAGTACACTTTCGGTAGTCTTGTAACTGCTGTTTGTTCTTTCACTGATGTTAGTTTGCTCAAGCAGATCATGTGCACTATCCAGAAATCTGGTTTACTCTCTGATCTTTTTGTTGGAAGTGGATTGGTGTGTGCATTTGCAAAGTCTGGCTCATTGAGTTACGCTAGGCAAGTTTTTAATCAGATGGAAACAAGAAACGCGGTGACCTTAAACGGTCTAATGGTTGGTCTGGTGAGGCAGAAACGAGGAGAGGAAGCAACTAAGCTCTTTATGGATATGAAAACCGTGACTGATGTTAGTCCTGAGTCATATGTAAATCTCCTGAGCTCATTTCCTGAATATTATCTAGCTGAGGAAGTAGGTCTGAGAAAAGGCAGAGAGGTCCATGGACATGTAATAACAACTGGCTTAGTTGATTCATTGATCGGTATTGGAAATGGCCTTGTTAATATGTATGCCAAGTGCGGGTCAATAGATGATGCTAGACGTGTTTTCTGTTACATGATGGAGAAAGACTCCGTCTCCTGGAACTCCATGATCACTGGTCTTGACCAAAACGGCTGTTTTCAAGAAGCTTTGGAACGCTACCTAAGCATGAGACGACATGAAATCTTGCCTGGTAGTTTCACACTGATTAGTTCACTTAGCTCATGCGCTAGCTTGAAATGGGGTAAAGTAGGACAACAGATTCATGGAGAAAGCCTCAGATTGGGGCTTGATTTGAACGTTTCGGTTTCAAATGCGCTTATCACACTTTATGCAGAGACAGGCTATGTCAACGAATGTCGTAGAGTATTTTCCTTCATGCCAGAGCATGATCAGGTGTCTTGGAACTCCATGATAGGTGCTTTAGCTAGCTCGGAAGGGTCAGTACCTGAAGCAGTGTCATGTTTCATGAATGCGCTACGAGCGGGACAGAAACTTAACAGAATAACCTTTTCAAGCGTTCTTTCAGCTGTGTCATCCCTTTCATTCGGTGAACTCGGTAAGCAGATACATGCGCTAGCTTTAAAGTACAATGTTACAGATGAAGCAACCATTGAGAATGCTCTTATAGCTTGTTATGGAAAGTGTGAGGAGATGGAGGAGTGCGAGAAGCTATTTGCTAGAATGTCAGAGAGAAGAGATGATGTAACTTGGAACTCGATGATCTCTGGGTATGTACATAACGAGCTCCTTCCCAAGGCTTTAGACTTGGTATGTTTTATGTTGCAGAGAGGTCAGAGATTGGATAATTTCATGTACGCGACGGTTCTTAGCGCGTTTGCTTCGGTTGCAACGCTAGAGCGTGGAATGGAAGTGCATGCTTGCTCGGTGAGAGCTTGTTTAGAATCCGATGTGGTGGTTGGGAGCGCACTCGTTGACATGTACTCCAAATGTGGTAGACTAGACTATGCTTTGAGGTTTTTCAACGCGATGCCTGTGAAGAATTCATATTCTTGGAACTCGATGATCTCAGGCTATGCACGTCATGGACAAGGAGAAGAAGCTTTGAAGCTATTTGAGAATATGAAACTCGATGGTCAAACACCACCTGATCATGTAACATTCGTGGGAGTGTTATCAGCTTGTAGCCACGCGGGTTTGGTTAAAGAAGGGCTTAAACATTTCGAATCTATGAGTGATTCATATGGTTTAACTCCTAGGATTGAACACTTCTCATGTATAGCTGACTTGCTAGGCCGTGCAGGTGAGTTAGATAAGTTGGAAAGTTTCATCGATAAAATGCCGATGAAGCCTAATGTTCTCATATGGAGAACGGTACTCGGTGCTTGTTGCAGAGCCAATGGTCGTAAAGCAGAATTAGGGAGGAAGGCAGCAGAAATGCTTTTTGAACTGGAGCCAGAAAACGCTGTAAACTATGTGCTACTTGCTAACATGTATGCTGCTGGGGGAAGATGGGAAGATTTAGTAGAAGCGAGGAAGAAGATGAAAGATGCAGAGGTGAAAAAGGAAGCTGGTTACAGTTGGGTCACCATGAAAGATGGAGTTCATATGTTTGCAGCTGGGGATAAGGCACACGCGGACGCTGATTTGATCTACAAGAAGCTCAAGGAGCTGAATAGAAAGATGAGAGACGCAGGTTATGTGCCGCAGACAGGGTTCGCCTTGTATGATCTGGAGCAAGAGAATAAGGAAGAGATTCTGAGCTATCACAGCGAGAAGCTCGCTGTAGCTTTTGTTCTCATGACACAGAGAAACTCTACACTGCCTATAAGAATAATGAAGAATCTGAGAGTTTGTGGTGATTGTCACTCTGCTTTCAAGTATATATCAAAGATCGAAGGGCGGCAGATAATACTAAGAGATTCAAACAGGTTTCATCATTTTCAAGACGGTGAATGTTCTTGTAAAGATTTCTGGTGATTCCATGAGTCTTAAAGGTAAGAAGACCACCAAACTCAAATGGAGATTCTTTCTAACATTTTATTCATGTATGTCCTGTTTTCTTTTCAGGTGATTTTACTTGGACTCACTCAAACCATTCTTCTTTCTGCTTCTGGAAGGTGGAGTTGAGATGCATCAAATAAGTGAGTTACATAAAATATGTGCATTTCGTTTGTGTTGAAACTTGAAAATTCATTATACATATTTCATTTATACAAAATAGCCTTTGATTTTGTTTGGCAAGTTAATATCATTTTTTCTCTATTGTTGAAATGATGTGTGAAGGAGCTCAAATGATGGTCAGATCAATCATGCTCATAATGATTGATTCATGATCAAACCATCTCAGTTGGCGCTTGTGGGGTCACAATATTCCAGAAAAGGTAATCTTTACTATACTAATTACTCTTTAGTCAGTGCATTACGAGTTGTAACTTTCATTTCTATCTCTCTTCATATGGAATTTGTTTTATAGCTTAACTTCCATGAACCAGATTGTCACCCTCGTTTGTGAATTGGCCAAAAAATGTATGACGAAGATGAGGAGAGTAAGCTATTTTGAAGGTATGTGAATAGAGTGGACAGTGCTTGGTGGAGGCTTAGCGTATTCCCTCACAAGATTCACTTTATGGACTCAACAAAACCATATTTTCCGCCTTTTTAATCGTAGAACTGTATGTAAGCAATAGTGTTTCGTTTGTTATAGAGTTAGTTTCATTTGACTTTCATGAGGAAGTATACTCTTGAGTAATTTAACAAAACAAAAAGAAGATCATGCAGATGATTTGTTTTATTGAAACAAGAGAAAACTAATTCGGTAAAAGAGTATAAAAAATATCCAAAATACATTCATTTTACAGAGCCTTTCTTCCAAATATCACAACGAAGGAAAACTAGAAAAGAAAAAAAACGAAGATGATCTAGGAGCGTTTGTTTGCAGTAGCAGAACATAATCGAGCTCGGACACACTTGAGCATCTTACAAAACCTCTCTCTTGGTCGGGTAGGTTGTAGCTAAACGGGCATTTGGCTCAAATCAACACCTACACAGTTTCACAAGTATGAGTTAGCTACACGGCTTCTCTAAGCTTCCTTCCTCCACTTTTCTCCAACTCATTAAGCAGAGACAAATCACAAGTGAACCGTTTTTTTTTACGAGCTTAGGAATGTTAATTGTATTATATGTACCATTCAAACTCTTTATCTAAGTTTTTCTCGAACAACAATTTTTTTAAGTCGAAATGTCTATTGTTATTGCGATCAGATCATTTTCGTGCAACAGTGAAATTTGCAACAACGCAAGAAGAACAAATTTCTATCTCAACAGTTCCAAAACCATTTACTTCTTGTCATTAGAGGAGCGCTTTGTTAAGCTCAATCAACGGTTGTTATATTCTATACAAGCAATTAGAAATCCTAATCACAAAGTATATACATATCACATTTACGAAGCCAGACTTTACAAACTGAAATGCTACTAAGCAACCGTTCATACGCTGTGAACTCCGAGACAACAAAAGAGGGTTAAAGAAAAGCAAGATTTACTGTGTTAAGTACACTACTAGATTAGATGCTATGTGTAATGTGTGTATATACTAATAAGATGCACCGAAGAATGAGAAAAAGAAGTATGTCAACAAATACATTCAACAAAACAGTCCCTTAGGGACTGTCCCTATGCTCTTTTTCACAAAGTTTCATAATCCCTATATAAAGAATGCAGACTAAACGCTTCACTTTTTACTAAAATAAATTGCAAATAGCTTACAAGCGCAAGCACATGTATTTTGCCAAAAAGCATGGATCACACTAGTAGTTTGATAAAGCATATATGCATTCAACTCAATAATCAAGCAGTGCAACAGGTGATGGAGATGATTACCTTATGATAGCGAGTGGAGCTACTTCAATGCCCCTGTCCAGCAGGAGTACCCGAAGGCGGTTGCTGCTGATTCTGCTTAATCTGTTGGAGAAGGCTTGCTGCGAACTGTAGTGTTTTCTGGTACCTTTCGTCCTTCTCCCCATCTGTTGTACCCTGACCAGCCCCAGAGGGCAGCTGTGATGCTTGGCTTTGTGGCTCTAAGTTCGACATGTCAGCTGGTGGTTGCATAGCAGCTTGAAACTGGGAAGGATTCAAGTTATGTGCCTGATTTGTTGTTACACCATGATAGTTAGCTTGCTGATAACTTGAAACCGGACCATAATTCTGGCTTTGTACTGATGCTTCTGGTTGGTATTGCTGTGTCATGGGCTGAGAAACAGAATGATTTGACGAACCCTGACTGTACATGGCATAGTTATTATGAGTCATTTGAGGCATGTTAACAGACTGGCCTTGGTACTGCATGTTGCCATGGACCATTCCACTAGAGTAGTTGGGATTGGAGTTGTTTGAAGCTGGAAGGTAACGCGGAGGAGGAGGAGGTAGTTGCCCGGATGGATTGTACTGATTTCCATATGTTTGGAACGACTGATTTGAGGTATCATGGACTGTTTGCGGATCTCTATTCCAAGCTTGAGACGGTGCTTCTCCATTGTACTGAGGCACTGTGGAAGAAACTGATGAAGTAACTGACATAGGTTGGTGACTCTCAGGAGCAGCCGATTGAGAAGTTGCAGGGAGAAAAGATGCCAGATTAGCTAAAAGCTCAGGAGTTAAAGATGCAGCTAGAGACGCTGCATTATTAGGTACCCTAAGAGGCTCACTAACCGATGGTCTCGAAGGAGCTGTAAACTGTTCTGGTGCACCCCTCGGAGGATAAAAACTGTGACCGGTATTGGCAGGTGAATCCCGGGATTGATCCATATAAGACAGAGGATTAGACTGAATTTCTTGTCTGTATGATGCTGCAGCAGGAACGGCTGGTGGGGGCAACTTGAGAACAACACCATAAAGCCGTTCTGGACCGGTCACTTTGAGTACATCAGTTAAGAAATCTGATGGAGGCACCAAGAATAAAGTTGTTCCATCATCTAATTTGGCAACGCCCGCTCGATCTTTTGAGCCAAGGTAGCGGAGAAATTCAGTGTAAGACGCAAAATCTTCTTCACTGTCTGGTAAGAAGTAAACTATCTCAAATCCAATGGCTTCAGTGTAATGTTTGGCGAGCATATCCAAACCAGTTCTTGCTGAACAGTTCACGACTTCAGGGCTGTAAAACAATTAAAAGAATAGACATCAGTACCACGCAGACATCTCAAAAAACATATCTAAAAGAAAACATATGCGTGTAGATGGTACTCACAGCTTAGTTTCGATCCCCTTTCCGATAGGTACACAACGAGCACAACAGACGGGAGTTCCACCCTTGGCAATCATTCCTCTCCATATGTAATCAGAATCACCGTAGCCACGAATAGGCCTAGCAGCAACTGAGCCACGCCCAAATGACCTCTCATCTACACCCATTGGAGTAAAACCTTCCACCGATCCATCCCTTCTGGTTCGTTTGTTTTCTCTGTCCATCAGAGCAGGATCATATCCTTCCCAAGAACCGGGGTTAGACCTCATAGGGTTCCTCATACCTTGTGCAGGAGGTGGGAGAATTCCATGTCCAGCTGGAGATGGGAGTATTCCAGTTCCATTTGGAGATGGCCTCCTCCAGTTTGGCTCCATACCAGTAACGTCATTGTATTCTGAAACATTATAAGAACGGTCATTGCTACCTCCAGTGAAATGAGGAGAAGATACAAATGAAGGATCACCAATGAACATACCTGGCCTTGACCGCTTCACGCCAGAATAAAAATTGGTATCATCTTGCTCAGGAGGTATCTCATCGTTTGAGTACATAATTTTGATTCTGGGATCTTTGAATAATCTCCCTTGTAGCCCTTCCTTAGCTTGGCGAGCTTCATCCACGCTCCTAAACTCCACAAGAGAAAAATGCCTTGACGGGTAACTTTTCTTCCTCTCGATCTCACCAAAGAGTATCATTGCATTGTGTAGCATTTGTTCATCTATCTGAACAGAGGGAGGGTACCCTATCCACAGAACCTTACTTGGCTGGTCATCTCCTCTGGCATCTTCATGTGAGTGAGGATACTGTAAGCATGTAACAAAAACGCCAAGCTAATTAACATCATACACATATCAGCGGTAACACGAAACAAACTTTTTTTTTTTCGTTTGGAACATTTAAAACGAACCTGCGGTTTATGATTCACATTGCCATTCCTGTTATCGTAAGAGCCTGCCCATTGTTCCTAAAGATAAAAGACAAAGTCAATTTTAGAATATGAACTGTTTGTTGGTAGAGCGTTTTCATAAGTAAAAAGTGTCACAAGAACGGTTACTTTTCTTGGGGCTTGTGAGCGGAGAAAATCAACGCGCAGATAGCCACCACCCAGTCGCTTGCCATTCATGTTCCTTGCCCGTAAGGCAGAGTCAATGTCGTAATAATCAATGAAAGCTGTCTTGCGTTCCCTAAGAAACCTAAGATCCTCGATTTTTCCAAATTGACTGAACTCATCCTCCAGGTCTTCCTTTGAGACACTCGAGCTGATTCCCCCCACCCAAAGACTCTTACAAGGTTTTGCCTGCCAGAAAACACACAAGGTTTCAATAACAAGGCGATATGATGATATCACACCAAGCACAGAATTTCAATATATCAAAGCATCAAACATCAAGGAACTTAAACACACATCAAACACCAATTTCAAGAACATGTCACCAATTAATATCAGTTACTATCCTAAACACACAACCCTGCAAGGAAAATAATATATCAGCTTCTTCTATCAATCGGCGTTAACAGTTCCTCCTGACTAAACAAACGTTTTGTCTGTTAACACTATTGAGTACGCATTCTTGTCTTACATAGAAGACTTGGCTGAGTCCCAACTGAAAGAAGCCGACGAGACCTTAAAACTGATGGGAAGGAATCTTGTCTTGATCACTGTAGACTTAATATGCTGAAACCATGTCTTTATCATTGCAGACATGGCAGTCCCACAAAAATAACAATCCGGGGAGACATTACACACTGAATGGGAATTAATATTTGTCTTGAATATCTTGATCAACGCAGTGTCTCGGACCCAATATACCAAACCCCGGGAGTCTCGTACAGAAAGTAACTCAAAGAGTAACTGAGCTGAGAAAGACGAGATTGTACGTACGGCAAGACACACAGAGGTAACCAGGATTCGAGGTTTCAGGAGACGTCACTTTCACTGTTTGAAAGTATTTCATCGATGACGTCTCTGACTGGTCGAGCAAATCGATGACGTCTCTGACTGGTCGAGCAAAGAGAGTAGCCACGACGCAAATCGACTCACAAAACAAGGCCAAAGCTCTCCAACGCTGATATGAAAATTGTCTGCGATTTTCATTAAAAACTAAACATCTGGAGTACGGATTATCTCACCGCCATTATACAAATTTCTTCTCCCTGTTTGTTTCCAATTTCTGATTTTCTTTACTTGGCTATGATCGATTTGCTAGCTTCCCAATTTTTACCTTTGCGAAATTTCGGGTACGGTACACGCAATTCATTCGTACTCATATCTTGTGAGATTAAGCTAAAGTGACCCATCTGCAGTGGACATGAAATCAGACTAGCGTGTCGGCGGACCTATTAAATCAACCTTTCACTGCAAAACTTTGTAACGAATGAAAACATGTGTGTTGATGCATTCTTTTGCAACTCACTCGTAGTAGTTATCGTAATATAATCTCTTTGTGGGTTTACTTGGCACGACTTTGATTAGATCGTTAAAATAAAAGACGCAGATTACTAAAAGACCTGCGTTTCTCCCTTTTACGTTTCGCCGTCAAGTTGCAAATCAGCCACGTCAAGTAAAAAAAAAAAATATACATAGATCTAAGTTCTGGTTGTGATTTTGATTTTGACTTGTACTCAATCAACATATCTAAACCTAATGTATGAATCGGCACGGTGTAATCATCGTTAATAAACAATCAAAGTTAATGAACAAACCTAGCGTATGAATTCGCAAAATCATTGACAAGAGACAATCAAAGTTAATAATAATAATAAACAAACAAAGATTTGATAACCCTAACGAATCAAAGAGATAAGAACAAACCGGTCGCGCGTATTGGATCGTCAACTGACTCCCGTTCAGATTCGCCCCGTGCAGCGCCTCCTTCGCCGCCACAGCTTCCTCCACGTGTCTGTAGTATATAAACGCGAATCCACGGGATGAATACGCCGTGATTCTGTCGACGTCGCCGTACCTTCCGAACAACTCCGTCAGATCTGACTCCGTCGTGTCCATCGTGAGGCTACCGACCCAGAGATTGTTNTCAACTGACTCCCGTTCAGATTCGCCCCGTGCAGCGCCTCCTTCGCCGCCACAGCTTCCTCCACGTGTCTGTAGTATATAAACGCGAATCCACGGGATGAATACGCCGTGATTCTGTCGACGTCGCCGTACCTTCCGAACAACTCCGTCAGATCTGACTCCGTCGTGTCCATCGTGAGGCTACCGACCCAGAGATTGTTCGATGTGAAACCGGAATCGTCGGATTCACGTCCTCTGAAAGGCTTCATAGGTGCCGCCATCGCGCTAGAGGTAATGGATTGAATCAATCGGTGATACTAAGGGTCAGAATTCGAATATTGACGAGATGGGAGCGAGAGATGAATTGAGCGATGATGAATCCTAGAGAGAGAGAGAGAGATGCGTCTTCAAATCGTACCTAGAGAGAAGAGGCGAGAACCCTAGGTGGAGATTGCAAGATGAGGATAGAGAGATAAAGAGCGATCCAACCCAAACGGCGGCTCTTTAAAAGGATAAATAAATAAAATAAATATATATTATTTTCTTTTTGGATTCTGCTAAGTAGGACCGAAACGGTGCGTTTTAAGGTAGACATTGGCAAATTTGTAAATAACACGTAATTGTCTTTAGTAAGAATTATTGTTAATCTGTCACCAAGATTACAGTGAAAATAAGGAGTTTTAATAGCATCTTTGCAGGTTCATAGACATTTAATAACCGATGTTAGTCTCTGAGATTGTTGCGTTTCTCGTTTCCTGGTCTTGGAAGCTTCACATGAACATTGGTTTAGATGAAGCATCAGGTAGAGGCAGATTCTTCAGCACCGTTTCTTTAACAACTGTTAAGCATTCTATGAGGAACCGGGCTAGGTGAGAGAGCTCAAGCTCGTATTGCTCGTAGATGAAGAAAGCAGTGAACGAGAATGACATCGCTGTTAAATAAGTCGTTCAGTGTTTATGGTCAGGAAGCGAGTAATTGATAAGGAAGATATGTAGAAAATAACAAAAGTTTTGTATACCTGTGAAAAGAAAGGTTGCCAAGGAACGCGATACGATCAGTTTGATGAGATATAGTGATCCAGCAATCTGTTTTAAACGAGAGAATTGAGCTTTTGTCATGTTTGGTGAGCGTAAGAGAAGTGCGTAGTGTGTAAAAATTATACCTTGAAGAACTTGATCCAGTCTCCTCCTCTGCTTAATGAATTTAAACTGTGAACTCCATGGTTCCATGCAACTACGATATCCGTGCAAAGATCTCTCACTGCAGACTCTGAGATCTCGAATCTCCACGGAGGTATTTTCTTGACTCGAATAAACCCAAAGCTGTCGAGCAAATTAAATGACAATTGATTTCAAAAGAGAAACATGCATACATACATGAATGCATCAGAGTTTGCTAAGACGATTCTAGTCTCACGAAACACGTTCACTATTTTATAGAGTGCTTAAAAGGAAAGTCGCTATTTGGAACGAGTACTTACATCTTTGACGGCACAAAAGCGAGTCCATAGAGAGCAACAGCAAGTATAAACAGAAGTTGGGCTGCAGACGAAGTAAATGTGCTTCCAGAAGAGAAGAACCAGTAATATAACAAGTTGAGGACAACAAAAGATAGAAATGTATTCTTCTCATTTCTCCACAGCAAGATGTCTGCAACTGCATACACATACAATAAAAATGGTCAATTTAAAGAGATTAATACTTGCATAACCAGGATATGAATCGAGTTTAATCATGCATTAACCAGGATATGAATCGAGTTTAATCATGCATTAAATCGTATGGTCTAGAAGCGAATGTAGATGGACTAAGCAGATACATCAGCATGTTATATATTTTCTAGAAGCAAGGAAGCTCAGTTAAGAGTAGAGATAGATTCTTTCCAGACTAAGCCTTATTCGCATGCAATATGCAGCATATCCATAGCTAAATAAGAAACAGACTCAAAGCAATGTAGCGGGATACTTACCCAAGAACAGATAAATCTATAGATGTTAATGGGGAGATGGTTCTAACCTTTTCCACAACCAAGTAGCTGATCTGCTTTAGACTGAATGGCCGTATCATCAGATTTTTCAAGATCGCGAGAGAACCACTGAACCGTTGATGCAATACCATCCTACGAATTCAACAAGAGCTGTTGTGACCAAGGGTGCTATCAAGCAGCTGAATATGATGAAGCGAAATATTGTCTAAACTGGACTCACTTCAAGTGTCACGACAGGTGTGTAACCAAGATGCTTCTTAGCAGCATTGCAGTCAAAAGTTCTCGTTGAGGAAGCTAAAAGAGCAAACTGATGAGCTGTGTCATAATAACTTCCAGTGCCCTCTCTTTCTTGTGTCCATTTAAGTAGTGACAAAACAGACGAAACCAGCCGAACAGGAAGTTTAGTGGATGGTCTGCAATCAAAGACAAGAAAAGTATCAAATTAGGTATAAATATCAGCTAGAAAATGAAAACAATAACGACCATGTACAAGATTGTAAATATAACACAGAGAAATACCATATAAATATCAGCTAGAAAAAAATGATAATAAATACGGCCCTACTCGAACCAGTCCCACTAGATAAGGTAGTTCATGATATTTATCAATAGAAAGATGATAAGAATGCAGATGCTTTAAAAGGAAACATTCAGGAAGGATTCAGAATTCTGACGAATCTTTGTTCACGCTGAAGCAGACACAGGACAATCAGGAAACAGCATAATCAAGAAATTCCAAACAGGTTTTCTTTTATCAACAACTATTAAAACTATCATTTACCTTGGGTATCCCAAACCTTCAACTATGTGGCTTACAAAGTCCCAGAATTTGACAGGCTTGAGGTTAGTGATAAAGAACTCCTACAGATAACCAGCAAGAAAAACTTTATCATACATAAAGGTTGTGTGCTTTCAGTAGCGGTTTGACAACTACGTGTGCATCATGGTTATTACCTTTCCAGCCACAGATTCCATATGTGTATCTAATGCTTCTGCGGCACAAATATGTGCATGAGCAACGTTGTCAGAGTAAGTGAAATCAGACATATTTTCACCATTTCCGATTTTAAACTGAAATATTGAAAAAGTAGAAGGCATCATAAAATGGTAACGTATCTAGCTGACGAAGTCTCTAATACGTCACAAAGAGATTCACACGATAACGTGATCAAGCAATACAAACATCAACACAATAACGGGATGCAACATAGTCAAACCTTTGCATATCCGGATTTGGCAAGATTCACAAGGAAAGGGACAAACTCCGTGTCACCAGGTCCAAACACAATACTAGAGCGAAGTGCACAAGTTAAGAGACCATCACGGTTGTTAGCAAACTTAATCAACGCTTCCGCTTGAGCTTTAAAGTCTGTCAACATGGATGGTAACTGCAACACAAACAAAGCAAAACATACATCATTCCTGAACAAAAACCAAAAGGAAAAAAAAAAAAAATCATCCTCAGGGATTTACCTTCAAAGGACGTCTCAATGATTCATCACCATCACAAATAGCTTCAGAACCATCAAAAACAACATCAGCAGTACTGTTGTATATAAGTTTCCTAACTCCAGACTCACAACAAGCTGAAATCACATTCCTCGTCCCTATGTGAGTAAAAAAACTCGATTTAAACAACGATAATGATATTTAATCAACGCTAATGATATAAAAAACGAGTAAAAGTCTTTTATACCTTGAACCAAAACCTTGTAACAATAAAAGTAATCACGAGAACGTAAATCATCATCTCCCATGTAGAACACAACATATGAACCTTCAGTAACTGCAAAATCAACAATATCAAGCCTAAATCTCATTCTCTTCCACGATCCAAAACGTTCAAGTAACGAAAACAAACCTTTAACGATCTGAGGCTTATCACGAACATCAACGCAGTGATACGAAGCGCGTCCCGAGGAGAGAGCGTCGACGAGGATCGAGTCGGACTCGTCGAGATTGAGAGTCTGAGCGGAATCAGCGACTCGGACTGTCCAGTTTCCGAGTCGGAGCAATCTGGAGACGAGCGATCGGCCAACGAAGCCTCGGCCGTTGAGGACGACGCAGGTGTTGAGACGTGAATCGTGGCGGACGGCGTCTTCCTCCATTGTTTTATCGTAGTATCGGTTTCTCTCAACGAGTCAACTCGGAGGGGGGGTGGGCGAGTCGAGGTTAGATCAGTGGGTGGCAAGTTGCAGAAGAAGAAAGAGAAGCTGAATCGTAATGGTTAAGGGTTTGTTTGGCGGGCAGATCATATGCTTTGCAACCTCTCCACTTGCGTAAACTTTATTAAGCGTTTTCATTTATTGTTAGGGTACTGTAAATATATTTGACTTTATTTAAATAAATATATTTACACTGATTTATTCTGTTAATTTTACATGTAATTTTATATATACTAGATCCTTTTTCCGCGCTACGCGCGGATAAGATATTTAAATTTGTTACATTTGTCATTTCTATTTGTATGTGGAATTTTGTATATTAATTTTTTTAACTTAAATTTAAACTTGTTTTTTTATATTTTTAGTTTGAAGTAAGTATTTGAATATAATTCATTAGTGGTAATTGATTATTTAGTTATATAATTATCT